GAAGGAAATTGAAGATCAATAGTGCCTTTTTTCTTCGCTGCCTGACTTTAGTCTGACTTTTTCATAGTGTTTCCATCCAGTTTCTTCTCAGGAGAAAAAGAAAAAAATAAGTAAATAAAAGTGTGATAGGAATTGGAGTTATAAGAGAATATAAAGAGAGAAAATAAGTAGTTTAATGGCTGGCTTACCGATGCTCAGAAGGTTCACTTGATAACTAGTTCATGGAACAGAGTATAGAAATATATACTGATATATTGAGGATTTATTTATTTATAAAAAAAAAATTTTTTTATCAGTTGAAATATTTATTAATATATTGATGAGTTATTTGAGAGTAAAAATTTGTGAAAAACATAAAACAGTAAAATGAGTAGCTTGAGGATGTGCCTACTGACATATGGTGAGGAAATGCTTAATAACCTGCTACCTGACTCTCAGGCAAATGAATAAAAGATAAATCTTGAAAAAAAAAGAGAAAGAAAAAGAAGAGAAGAAAAAAACACAGTCGTAGCATATCATGCACATGCTTGATGCTCGTGATTTTTGCCATATAACTTAACAGAATAGTTTGTAAATACATATATATATATAGTATTTTAGTAACTATAACTGGCAGTGTTTATCACCAGTATATAATTAGCTAATAGATTTGCAGGATCAGGTGTAACATGCAAATCAATTTGTGTAATAACAATAAAGATTTTTTTTAAAAAAATGCTGATATCTCAAGAATTTGCCTATGAAACTACCTTCGACATTCTAACAAAAAGAATTCTTTGCTAAATTTTGCATATATCTAACATCTTGCTAAAATCTCAGGTCTCACCCTAACCCTAAAGTAAATGAAATAAAATATTTCTTTAGTTTATTGTTATTGGCTAATTATACACCGGTGATGATCACTGCCGGTTATTCTAACTAAAACTCATATATATATATTAATTAGAAAACTTGTAAAATATTATGTAAAATGGGGCATATGAGGAGCCACAGCCTGGCACAACTCCCATTGTGTTATTTCGTCTGATCAATAAATTAATCTGAGCAAGAATAATAATTTTTTAGTATAAACCTATTCTAAACATGCTTAGAATAATATTATATTAAAATTTTCAGTATTTAAAATAATTATTTAATTAGTTTATATTATATACTATTTAAAAAAGAAATATTTCTTAGCAGATAAAGATTTAATAAAATTTTAACATAACATATTTTAATATGTTTAAGAATAGATTTATAAAACAATAAAAAATAGTAAAGTAATCCATTTTAAATATCTAAAACATGCATGTTATTCTTTATTTTTAAAATATATAACTAGTAAGAAGTAATTATGTATAAATTATATAATTTTATTTAGTTTTTTTATAAAATTAAATAATTTAATTTTGTGTATATTTTGTCAAATAATTTAAATTTGTATATTAATATTACAAATTATTTACAAAAACTGTAACAAAAACTGTATAAATGCTCACAGTTGGTATAAAATTGTTATATTAATTTACAGTTTTTATACAATTTTTATACAAAGACTTTTATTGAAATATAAAAGGTGATAAAAAATCTGATCATTATCATGATTACTAAATTCTAAAACTCTATAATTAATTTTTATATAGTACTACCTTTGAGTGACTGAAAAGCTGTAAACTACTTTACTATCTTTCATTTTATTAATATCTGAAGATTCTAATTACACAATTACTATAACTGATTATGTTTTGAAAATAAGTTAATGACAAATTGTATAATGTTAAATAAAAACTATCATATGGAATAGGTTTCTTCAGAATTTTAGTTCGTTCTTAGTACAGTTGATGCTATCTGATTGCATACTGTTTAATTGAATATATTCTCTAAATGCATAAAAAAAGTTTGGATCTTAATTATTAACAACAAAATAATTCTTATAACCTAAATGTATATACTGTCTATATTGATATAAATTGATTTTAAACCTCAATTATTTCTTTGTGAAAATCCATATCACTCTAATTAAAATGTATAATTCGGATTTAGCAATTTTAAGCAATATATATTGCCACAACTGTCTGCACTGAACATACAAAACCGGTTATTTCATCGTCATATGAAAATATGACAATCAGAAGAGTGCATTTGCGCATCAGGGCACAAAATTTCCGGGTGATGTAATCTGCTTTTTTTTCGGTAAACGAAATTTAGAAACTCCTGCAATATATTTACTATTATAAAATTTCATGCCACTTTAAAACTACTCTGGAAGTCAACTTAACTAAACGGACCTCCGGTATTTTACAATAGAATTTTGTGCCCTGTTGCGCACACCATTTCACTCTTCAGATAACTATTCATATCGACCGATTTGGTTTGACCCCAAAATTAGCCAATCATGATTGAGAATTATTTGTTGTTAAAATTTATTACAAATAATTTTTACAAAAACGGTCCTTTAAACTTACTTATGAATCCATAATTATGTTTATGGAATATTGCAATATCTGCATGTTTAATTATTAGCTGAAGTAAGTTAAAAAGGCCGTTTTTCTCAAAAATTGCTTCTGAATTCACCCATACCCATTATACAATCGATCAAACAATGACAAACTGATCGTTCACTACCCGAAAATACTCGAACGCTTCAACAACTAGTGGTAATACCTTCTTTAAAACTTAGAATAACGTTTTTTTTAGTATTTATTGCTTATTTATCTCATATAGAATTCAAAAATATTTTTATGAATGTTTCATTTGTTATTCTTCACGTCACTTAATGGCAAAAGTTCGTGTAACAGTTTATCGAAAGAAGACCCCTAAAAATCAAATCGGTGGATATGTCTAGATATCTGCGCGATGCCATCGCGCAAAACTAGGAAAGGAATTTAACCAACTACTCAAGATTTCTTAAAATGCAGGAAAAATAATTTCTTTTTTTAAAAAATTTAGATTGTATATCAATATAGATTTTTTATGCTTTTTCATTTTAACCAGAGTTCCTAATTATTAATTAATTAACCATTTTTTGACTTGAAATGTCAGAATTGTCCAATCTGCAAATTTTAAATACACTATCTGCTGATTATAATTAGTTTTTATCTTTAATAAATGTTACTGAAAGTGTTATATACCAAGAGTATTTTAACGATGATGCTACAATTCATAACAATACAGCATTATTACACTATTGGTGTCTCAAATCATAGAAAGACTTTTTTTTATATGATTGGCTGTTTAAATCAATTTAATTTTATATTATTTATACAGTTAAAGTCCTTTACTAAAAAAATTAAACTACAAAAAATAAATAAAAAAAGTATGTGGAAAGTTTTATTGGGGTTGTAGAACTCCACTAATAAAAATAATCAAACTTCCTTTTTGTTTTAGCGAAGTTAGTATAATAATGACTTCTGAAAAATAGATAGAATTTGGTTATTATCATGCCAACTTTCTAAAATAGAAGGATTTTAAGTATTTTCAATTGCTAGAGTTCTACAACCCTAATGAAGCTTTCTACATACTTTGTTTTTATTTTTATAAAAAATGTAAAATTAAATTGATTTAAACAGCCAATCATATGAAAACCTTCCTTTGATGTCTCAAATCTCAATATCTATCAAGATTGCAATTATTATTGCTCAATCAGATGACAAATGACTTTATTAATACATAATGAAAGGTATATGCGAATCTGTTCACTATCATTCAGGCTTTAGTTCCTATAACTAAAACATTACATCTCCAAAGAAAACAATACTATTTGAACTAACCGGCTATAAACCCACTGAAACTACTACGCCTAAAAAAAACCAATAATCACTAATCAAACTATAGTGCCTAAGCACACACGTTACAGGTCGTTGAGGAGAGAGGTCAATGTAGCTCAAAGAGAATCAAAGCCCAAAATCCATCTTATGTAGATCTTGCATCGTTATTATATTCGCGGTGCTTAATTATCACCAAACGAATTCCTTGCACCACCACTGCAACTAGTGATGGGTGACGAAATTGACGAAATTTGGCGAAATAAGTATTTCGTCAATTTCGTCACTATGAAAATATTTCGGCACTTATAATTTCGTCAATTTTGTCACCCATCTATAACTGCACCGCGGAATCTAATTACGATAAGTAAGGTTCTTACACTGCTACTTCAGTCGTGGAGCTTGACGTTGTTTACCATTCACTGCAAAATGAGTGATAATAACCACTCACAACTGAAAAACTTTTAGATTATCAAAAAACTAGTACTAGTCATTCGTATATGAGATTATCATACGTATTCCCAATTTTAGACACAATTGGAATACACCAATCCGGTGACAAAGTAACGCCATTAAATTACTGTATAACCATATACTTCGTGATATTCATCACTCCGTTCAGGTACGATTTGATTTTAATGTTATAAACTTTTTTTCTTGACTTTCAAGGATAAATTTAGCATCTTATGCCTATTATAGTTGCATAAAGCAAATATCTACGTGACACTATTTTGGTATGTATATAGTTTGAGGGCGTTAAATAATTAACAGTTAAGGTACGTACGTACGTATGTATGTACAATATACGCATTGTACGTACGTACGTACGTGCATATTTTAAGGTAATAAAAAAAGCATCCTTATTATTTATGCATTTACTGTGAAAATAAGATTATTCAACGATGTTCCGATGCTAAATTATTTCTAAATCCCTAATAGGTTTGACAATTAGCTTCTATTTTTGTGTTGATGAAATTGTTAAAAAATATCCTAGGATTCAGCCCAAATACTTAATCAAATTTCTTAGTACTGTATATCAATAAAGCACAATGAATAAACATTTGTACAAACAAAATTTTCTAATCACAAATAGTTTCAACTTTCTATTGCAATAAGTGATACTGATATATAAAAGAAATAATAAAACATATATAAACTTCCAAGGGTTTTTTTTGTGCTTTAGTAATTTTTAGACTCGATCTTCAGTATAATGTTATTCTTAATTCGATATAAAGTAGATTTATACTATATATTTTAATGAGAAGACCTTAGTGCTCCAGTCAACATTTGCAAAGGATAAAGAATACCCAAAATCAGTGTTTGCAAAACATAAAGAATACACCAAATCAATTTTTTCAAAACATAAAGAATGCCCAAAATCAATTTTGGCAAAATGTAAAAAATGCTCCAAATTATTGTTAGCAAAAGATTAATCATGCTCCAAATCAATGTTTGCAAATTATGAAGAATGCCATTGTCAACTTCTTCAGCATCTTCATGAATAACAATGGGCTTAAATTCCTCTGAAGAAAATTTTATTTCTTCTTCGTCAAGATTTTGCTTTTCGCTAAGAAATTTAACATTGAAATCATCCAAAGATTTAGATTTAGATTGTTTCTCTGCTAAAGAGAATTGTGCATGATGCTTTTCGAGATCTATGACTGCTTGTTTCAAATATTTCAAGTCTTCTGCCGTTGTGGGGCTGTTTTTTACTTCTTTGGCAACATCTTGTATATGACGACGGTACTCTTTTAAAAAGTTTTCAAATTTTATAAGATTTGGTGCTATTTCTTTCAACATTTTAATTATAGTTCGCACTCGTAAAAGCTCATCCTCTGTTCGCTTTCGAGTTACATGATCAGCAATATTACCTAGCCAGTATTGTTTTAAAAAATGTTCTGCTTCTCGTTCTCCATCAATCAAGTACCCATGTGTATTATCTGCACTATCACGGACCGAATAAATAGCAGTAATAACTTTCTTAAGCTGTTCCTGAAATCCCGGTATCTGTTTTTCTAACACTCCGAGTCGCTTACAGATAAAGTCTACTGAACTATCTGACAACGAGTGGCTATTTGATTTAATAATATATTTGAAAAAACCATATTCTAACCACTGCGATTTTTCAATTTCTTGCGTGATTGCTTTCATCTCACTTGCAAGTGAAAATAAAAAGCCTTTCGCTTGATGTCGAAATTCTTCAAGTTCGTCACCAGTTGCTTGAATTTCTTTATCTAACCCAAAAAGCACTTCTGAAATTCGTTTTCCATTTTTAACTATAATATCGCTTTTTTCCATTTTGACACCGAGATCTCGAATGTTGACACGATAACTGCTCATTTCACTTGTTTCTATATAAATGTCACAAGTGCTAATTAGTTAAATTGTATAATATATTTCCATTTTAAATCAACATATATATACCTGGAATTTCAAGTGATGATAATTCTTCTGATCCAGAATCTACTAATTTTACGATATTTTCAAAAAGAAAACCATTATTTTGAGAAATTTCTTGTCGAACTCGCATCTAATAGACATTATTAAATTTAGGATTTAACTTTTTAAAATATTATTTAATTGTTAATTCTTTCTTACTTTGATAATGATAAATAGTAAAATAATTAAACATATTGCTAATGTTCCAAATATTTTTAAAAAATTTTTATCAACTAGTTTTTTAGGTGTTTTGTCATCCTTATCTTTTAAATTTTCGCCATTTAAAGCGTGTCGACGTTGTCGAATTGTTGAGGGGGCTATAGATAACAAAACCATTTTAGGAATAATTAGAAGTTAAAAAATAAAATGTAATTAATGTATTT